AGCCCTCAACAAAATAAGGGAATCCCTGATATTGGCATCCTGATGAGGAGGTGCCCAGCATAGGGATAGGGATATGTTCCAGGCTGGTAAAAGATCCCTGCGCCGCGCCCCCGCTGGAACGCCACTTCAGGCGGAATGCGCACGGGACGTGGAGGGCACAGGGGTACCCTTGAGCTGGCAGGGTCGACCTACTGATCTGGGCCGACTGTAATGACCATGCTGAGCCGAAGACATTGCTTGTGAACTGTCTGTTGGCAGGTCGGATGGGCTCCCGCAGATTTGGTTGCTATCCCGGAGGGTTGCAAAGGAGGTTCTTGCGGGGAGGGGGTTTTCCAGAGAGCTTCCCAGGGGCCTCGGCACCTCGTCAAAACAGGGGGTGCGAAGCCCCTGGGGGACCCCGAGAACCCTCCCAAGAAACCCCCTTTGGAACCCTCCCGCTATCGGCCGGCGGCAGGGTCGGACTATATATTCCAACACGGAACAATGAGAATTAAGAAGGGTGGATCTGTGTAATTTCAGGCCTGCGGCCCGTTGGCACTTTCGCGTTCTCGCTCAGAAACGTCGTTTGGCCAGGGCCTGGCCGTCTTTCGTGATTGACTGTTCGGGATCGGGGGCTCGCCGTTTTAGGAATCGCTTTCACGCGTCGCCGGAACAGTAGTTTGTCGATGGCTTCAGAGGGGCCGGAAACGGCCCTCAATGAGCCGAAATCTACGGAAAGCGCAGCGACTACAACAACATATATATATATATATATATATGTATATATTGGGATGTGTTCTGTTTCTGTTGTGCATCGGCTCTCTTGGCCAGGCCTGGGGACAGGAGGCGCACCACCACCACCACCTGACGGGGTGCAGGACGATACGATGTGCGGGATGCCGGTGGGCACCACCACAACCACCCTTGACTGCCCTCGGCCTCCGCCTCCCAGGTGACCAGGCGTCCGACGATGTGAGTCTTTCAATCCGCGGGGCCAGCTCTCCACCCCTGACCCAGTTTGGTCGTCCCGGGGCCTGGCAACGGGCCCCATGGAGAGCGAACTCGAGGAAATTCGGGAGCGGAAAAGAGAGGGGTGATGACTAGGGGGGGTGGATTTCATGGCGCGGGCCATGATTTTTCCTCGGATTTCATGGCGCCTCTTCTTCTTTCATTACGTCCCAGGCCCCCCCGCTGGGCCGCACTCATGCCGCCGGTCATGATTTGCACCCCCTCCTCTTGGACACCCCCCTCTTGGCCGCTCCCGAGAAACACGCCCGGCTTGAAACAAAAATCCGATCGTCAGAGATCTGGGTGGCGGTGGTGTTTTTCCCTTTTCCCCGTCCGACGTCGTCTTCGTCGTCTTCGTCGTCGTCCGCCGCCTCCGTCGTCCCTCGTCGTCCGTCTGTCGCCCGTCGCCGTCGTTTTCGCCGTCGTGTCGCGCCGTCTCTCTGATCCGATCTCTGCCGCTGGGCTCCCCTCTCCCTGGCTTGAAGTCGGGTCTGTCCATCTGCAGGGGGCCTATTCAGAAACAGTCAAATAATAGTCTGGGCACTATGTTTGGACTATTGTTTTGGCACTTTTTGAATTTTTGTTTGGGAGTATGTTTCATTTTGCGTCAAAACTCCCCCTGCAGGGGGACATGCCCGACGTAACCCTGGTTCCAAGAGAGTGCCAAAATAGTCAAAAACAATAGTCAAACAATAGCCTGGGGACTATGCTTCGAATATTTGTTGGGCGATTCGGAATTCTGGGCGGGGTAGTTTCCATGTCTCGTCAAATCTCCCCCTGCAGGCGGACGTGCCCGACGCAGCCCTGGTCCCAAGAGGGTGCCAAAATCGGGGGTGGGCAGAACCCCCAACAGTGACACGTCGATTAGTGAATCGTCCGTTTTCGGTTCTCGAGAGGGCTTCGTGGGCGTTCTTTTCCAGGCCTGCGCCCGCCAGGTTTGGGCCTCAGGTCGTTTTCGCTAAACCACGTTTTACTAAAGGGAGGTTTGTCCATCCCCGATACGCAATCTGCTGCATGCGGCTGGTTTCGGCCCCGCCGCCAGGCCCATTCCTCGATACCTGGGCGCCTCCGGCGCCGGGAGGCGCCCGGAGGATCCCCTTTTGCTCTCCCCCCCCGTCCATCCCCGACAAAAGCGCTCGGGCGCCGTCCGCGCCGGAGGCGCCCGCGGAGCGGCCCGGCGAGCGGGCGCGCGACGCCCGGGAGGCCCGGCTCCTGCGGCACGCCGCGGGCCCGGCGGCCCCGCCCGCGGGCAGCGGGCGGCACGGCGCGGGAGGCGCGGGTCTCCTCCTCCTCCTCCTCCTCCTCCTCCTCCCCCTCCCCCCTCCCCTCCTCCCTCCTCCTCCTCCTCCTCATCCTCCTCCTCCTCCTCCTCCTCCTCTCCTCCTCCTCCTCCTCCTCCTCCTCCTCCTCCTCCTCCCCCGCGGCAGGGGCGGGGGCCGGGGACGAGCGCGCGCTCGGCCACTCGCTGGGGGGGGGGGCGGGGGCAGGGGGGGGGGTAGGGGTCAAACGACACGAAGATCGGGACAAAATCGGATCGGGATAACTCGAAATCTCTGAGAATGGGCGGGTTTGGAGGACGTATTGGGCGCCGCGGCCGCTCCAGAGCGTTCCGGAACGCTCCGAGAGCGATCCGGAAGGCTCTGGAGCGATTTATCCCGATCCTAGCTCTGTTTTAAGGGGTGGTACAGCCAATCGGGAGCCTTGAGGCGGGGGTCAATGCAGACGGGGGTCCGCCAGAGCGCCCGATCTTGCAGGATCCTGCAGGGCCAGTGTCTCACTGACCCGGGCTGGGGTGCAGGATCCTGCCGGATCCTGCGGGATCCTGCGCATCGACCCGGGTTTGGGTGCAGCATGTTGCAGGGTCTTGCAGGATCTTGCAAGGCCCGATTGGCCCGGGTCTGGATTGACCCGGGTCAGCAGATCCCCGAGCCAAGACGCTGAAATAAGGAACAGTTTGGATTCGGAAGGGGCACGATGTTCCTTGCGCCCTTCCGTTGTTGTTCTTCTAGCCCTTCTCGTGCACCCAAGCTTTTCTGAAGCCACAGAGGGGCTTCATTCGGGGCGCCACAGAGGAGCCACAGAGGCGCGGGCCGGACGGAGGGGTGGTAGGCAAAGTCGGAGCTCAAGAGACGGGGGTCAATGCAAACGGGGGTCAGCCAGGGCAGCGGATCCTGCAGGATCCTGCGAAGACCCCCTCGAGGCTGACCCGGGTTGGCGAGCCGCTCGTGGCCGCGAGGCGGCCGCACCTATTGGTTGACCCGGGTTTGCGAAGACCTGCGTTGCATCTTTTTTGTCTCCCTGCATTGCAGTTTTTTGGTTCCCTGCTGACCCGGGTCTGGATCGACCTGGGTCAGAAGATCCCCGACAAAGTATGTTGACGGGCGACACTTTTAGCGAACAGTCTGGCAAATAGAATGAATCATTCGAAACAGAAATCACATATGATTGCAAGCGCCGCTATTCGGATATCGTCTTCTGTGGAGCTCACTCTGGAGCCACGAAACGCCATGCTGGCGGGGGAGGGGGGCCTGTGGGGGGGACGACATCAGTGCATGCATGCGTTCTCCCTCGAACCCCTGAGATTCGTGCGGAAGTTTGATCACGCGGGACGTTTTCGCTGGGCTTCGGGCCCAGGGCTGTCACCGGTCGATCCCGCTCAAAAGATGCTGCCGGAAGAGAGGGCCCAGGGTTCGGGTCGAGTTTTTGCTGCGGTGTTCCAAATTGTTCGCGACGTGGGATCTCAAGGAGGGTTGGAATGGGAGGTCGTCCAAATTTTCGGACGTCTTTGTCGGTTCTCGGCGTTTTTCCGGCCGCGGGGTGGTCTCCGGCAGCTGCGCCGCCCCGAGGGCGTTCCAGCGGTGCGCCGCCAGAGGTTCGATTTTTTTTCCGAAGGCCAGGCGGCGAGGATCAGCCAGGGGTTCCCCATTGCAGAAAAGGGGGGTGCGAAGTCTGCTGCACACTGCTGGTTCTGGCCTTGCCGCCTGGCGCTCTCCTCGATGCGTGGGCGCCTCCCAGCGCCAGGAGGCGCCAGGAAAACCACACGTTGCCCCCCCCCTCCCGATACCGTGACCTTCCGCAGTGATGAGAATTGGTCCTCCAGAACTATGTAGAGTTGATGTGAGAACTGTCTAAGACATCGATTATACGTTAGACTCGTCGTGGTGCTCTTTCTGTGCCCTGCTGGAAGGTCAGGGCAAGCCTCCTGACTTAGAATGCAACGCCTAGCAGGTAACATTCAACATCGTTGCTGGTATATCCGTGGCCAGACATTGGGTGCGGCATAACCTCGCGCAATCCGTCCTGACCTCGCACGATCCCGTGCTCAGTGCCCTCGTGGGAAGACCTCCCAGAAGGTGCCTCCCCAAACTCCCGACGTCATCATTCTTGTCGCAGCCTGGGCCCCTGCAGGTCTCGACCCATTCCCCAGGACCAGCTTTTCATCCTGAGTCGGTGTTTGACGGCCCCGAGGCTCGGTAAGGACCTCCAAGGGCTGCAAATTACCAAAAACATAGCTTCGCTATTTCTATTTTGCGACGCGAGCAGGTCTGGGCTCTCTCTTACGAAGGCCCTCATAATAAAGCAGTCACGTTGCGTCCTGGCTTGCCTATGGCTCATAGTCCCGCCAAAGAATGTTCACATAGCTTTATTAAGTTTGCACGAAGGTGCCTCCAACATGTCTGGCTGAGACCGTATGTTGTTTTATTCCTCGGCTTTCGGTTCTAAGAGCACGGTTATTGTTGTTGTTGGAGCTGCTATTGCTGCTGTTGTTGTTGCTGCTGCTGTTATTGTTGCTGTTGTTGGTGTTGGTGCTGGTGTTGGTGTTGTTGTTGGTGATGGTGGTGGTGGTGTTGTTGTTGTTGGTGGTGGTGGTGGTGATGGTGGTGGTGGTGTTGGTGTTGTTGCCGGTGTTCTTAGGACACTCCGTCGTATAGGCCTCTGCTCACCAGAAGTCAGTTGCCTCCGATCCGGCCGTCCGACCCGGGCAGGCGGCGCGGACGCCGCGCCGCCGGAGCCGATGACGCAGGCGGCGCTGCAGGCGCGCCTGCGGGCCCTCGAGGAGCGGCTCGTGCCCGCGGAGATGTCCGCCGCCGCCGCCTTGCCCCCGGGACCGGCCACGGCCGCGGAGCCAGAGAAGGACCTGCCGTGGAGGGAAGGGGTCCTGAGGGTTGGATCTGGCTGGGGGCCTGAGGTGGTTCCGGGGGCCGAAGTCATCGATCGTCGAGTGCCTTCTTGGCTTGTGCTTGGCAGCGCGTGTGTTGATTCTCCGAAGGAACCGCGAAGGAGCTGCGGAAAGGCTTCCAGCACGCGTACTGGGAACGAGTAGGACAACGCTTG